CTATTATAACAGCTATTATAACAGTATTATACGCAGTATTATAACATATTTACAGTATTATAACATATTTGATAACGCAGATTATACGCAGTATTATAACAGTATTATAACAGCTATTGGATAACAGGTATATTTAACGGCCCAGTATTATAAACAGTATGATATACGCAGTATTGATAACAATCTATCTATTACACAGCTATTGATAACAATATTATACGGGCAGTATTGATCAACAGTATTCATAACATGTGGATTGCGGGCCTTAGTTACACCCAGTTATTTGAACGAGTAGTCGTGGATACATATTGGGACGAGTATGTATACCGCGGCACTATTCGGTGATACACGCTCAGGTATATTACAGTGTTATACGCAGTATGCTTGATAACCCTTCCGCATCTTTCTCTCTCTAATCACAGTATTATACGCCAGTATTAATCAGATTGTAACAAGTATGTTTAACAGCTATTAACGCAGATTATACGCAGTTATTCATACAGTATTATAACAGTATTATTACGCAAGTATTGATAACAGTATTATAACAGTATATACGCAGTATTTATAACAGTATTATAACAGTTATTATACCAGTATTATAACAGTATTATACGCAGTATAAGCAGTACTGGTTACCTGTGAGCCCCGCCTCCTGTCAGTCTTGGGCTGGGGGGTGGACCTTCCATCTCCGTCAACTTTGTCCTCCCTCTCTGGCTCTGACTCTTTTTCCTCCTTGTCCTTGGTCTTCTTCGGACGGTATTTAATCTCCAGAGATGGATCTCTGTCTGCAAAGGACACAACACACAGCTAACAGCTAACCCCCAGCTAACAGCTAACACAGGTCTCTTTATGTCGGGGCTCACTGACCTCTGCAGGACGGACAGTACCACACTCTGATGGCTTTAGCTGCTTTTTCTGAAACACCGATACAGTTCCCATGAAACCACTCAGTGCAGCTGTCGCACCCTCTGGCAGACAGACAGGCAGAGAGGCAGACAGACAGATGTTAACAGCTGTATAGATGAACTGTGTTATTAATGAGCAGATGTTTGATTGTTGTTACATCATGAAGCAGTTGATGTCTGGTCTCCTGCAGACACAGTAAACGGGACCGTTGGGCGTTTCCATGGTAACCCGTCCTCCTCCTCGTCCTCCTCCTCCTCGTCCTCCTCCTGCCTCCTCTTGCTCCTCCGGGCCTCGCTCTGCTCCTGCAGCCTCCTCAGACTGACACACAAACACAAACAGGAAGTACGCTGCAAAATAACTCACAACAACACCAACAACAACAACAACAACAGTTCTGACTCTTCAAATGTTTGTTTATGGTTTCATACAACACAAAGTCTGTCCGACGCCTTCAGAAGAATTCAGAGTCAATGATTTTAATGATCACTGATCACTGACCATGTATCAATATATCGATCAATATTCTAACTGTGGTAAAAGCCTCATGGAGTTTGTACAGAAACACATGAGACCAGGTTCTGGATCAGAAACACATGAGACCAGGTTCTGGATCAGAAACCGCTTGAGTCCATTTAAAGGCTGCGGCTTAAATGATTGATTATTCATCACCAATCAATCTGCTGATTATTGCTGTTGGTTTGTTCATTACGTTCATATTCAAACTGGAATATTCTGAACTTATTCATTTTTCCTCAATAAATACTTCAATCAGTTCATTGATTATCAAAATAGTGATCAATTAATAAACATTTCCAATCAGTCGACTCATTGTTTGTTTCAAACTTTGTTTTCAGTTTGAAATCTGTGAAAATCAAAAGAAGTTTAATAATATTAATCAAACTGTTTCATGTAAAATAAGCATAAATAATAAACACAATTGCTAATCTATAATCAATAATTGCGCATTGGTAAGTATTGTCACGGTTTAACAGGTTCTACATCACAACCCTCTCTGCCTGAACTCCTCGGACCTGGACCGGATCAATAAGTGGACCATTTCACTGCTTTTCTCTCAACAACAACAACCACATGTGGACTCAATGAGGACTCCAAAGACCTGGTCCACATCCAGACCCACAGAGAACCTGGTCCACATCAGACCAACAGAGACCTTGTCCCATCCAGACCCACCAGAGACTCTTTTTGGTCACATCCAGACCCACAGAGACCTCGATTATCTGCTTCACATGAAGAGAGAAAGTGTTTCTGCACCAAACTTCGTTCATTTTCTGCTCATTTTAACTCGTCTGTTATCTGTGTGTGTTTGTGATGCTGCAGGTTTCTGAACGGAGAGTCCGTTATTCTGTCCATCAGTGCAACATCTGTCTGTCCGTCCGACTGTCTGTCTGTCTGTCTGTCTGTCTGTCCGACTGTCTGTCTGTCTGTGAACATCAACACTCACCATGATGAAGATGATGCTGCTTCACACGAATAAACAGAACTCCGTTTGCGTTTCGCTCATTTTTCATTTTTATGAAAATCAGTACAAGTCTCTTTGTTCCTCCTCCTCCTCCTCCTCCTCCTTCCTCTTCTCCGCGGTATAATGCAGCAGTCGGAGAGCAACAGCAACACCTGCAGGACGGAGACTGAACTGCACACTCAGCGTATCGATCAACTAATGGATGATTGATTTTTATTGTTTATTGTTTATTGTCTGTTTAATGTTTGAAATGTGTCGACATTCAGATCAATCAAATAATCAATTATTAAAATAATCTTAAAAATCTTTTTATTTTCATAGTCTCAAACAATATTAATAATTATAATATATTAGAGTTTTTACAGATAGAATATATATAATAAAAAACAACACACATATATAGCAGTATAATGATATATGTCAATATTTATTACTTTTATAATAATAGAAATGTGAAACGCACATTGTGATAAATGTTATATAAAGTGGATATATTATTAACACAATGCTAATAATAATAATAATGCTAATAATCATAATAATGGACAACAGTTCCAGTGCATTCTGGGTATTGGAGTCCAGAGTGAACGTATGGATTCCAGCTGCAGTTCTTTGTCCGTCCAGCAGGGGGCAGAATCAAACCAACGAGTCACTGGAGTTAAACTAAAAGTATTTATTGTTAGTTCTTAATGGCTTTCAACCTGCGGTCCGCGGACCACCAGGGGTCCTACAGTGGGCTGCAGGGGGTCCAAAGGATGAACAGAGTATTTGGGTCTTTGTATTGATTGTAACTTCTATTGAGTGTGTGTGTGTGTGTGTGTGTGTGTGTGTGTTTGTGTGTGTGTGTGTGTGTGTGAGTGGGTGTGTGTGTTTTGTTATTTAAAAGAACAGGGGTGTGGATAAGGGGCCGTTAACACGCCTCAGACACCAGCAGCAACAGTTTGCTGAGAACAGTTGAAGACGGACCGCCGACCCAGACAGACCGGACAGACCAGACAGACAGACCAGACAGACAGACAGACAGATCCAACCAGACCAGACACTGTGATCAGACAGATACGAGGCGCAGGTGAGAAACTTTAAATTCTTTTTCTATATAAAATGACCTTAAGAGTTCTATTAAATATACAAATATTGATTTATGTTGTACGGAAGTTTCCACTCCCCTCACTAATATCCAGTAATATTAACTAAACTCCAGTAAGTATAACGTAATACCGCAGTAATATTAATAATACTCAACTTAATATTAACTACCAAGTACTCCAGGAATATTACTAGTAATACTCCATAATACTCAGTGATCAGATAGCGTCCATTCAGTGCAACATCAAGTGCTGCTTCCGTCCGCCGGTGCTGGCTCCCCGCCTGTCTGTATTGTAGGGGACAACATCAGCCCAGGACAAAAAGGTTGAGGCACTGACAATCAATCACGTGATTTATAGAGTATATATCTGATGTTTTTAATAAATTCCTGCTGAACTTTTTACTGCCAGTATTCACAACACAATGCTTCAAATTCGTACATAAAAAATGAATATGTTCATGTGTTTAACAAACACAGTTATGTAAACAGTTTATTATGTTTTAAGATAAATAAAGCTGAGCACATGAAGAAACCTTGTTGCTGTTGTGTGTTGTTGTTGTGTGTTGTGTTCTGTCTTGTCTTCGTTCTTGTCTTCCTTCCTCTTATTCTTATTATGTTAACTAATGGTTGTTGTTTGTGTCAAAGCAAGATATGAGTATTATTACTTTTTAAACGTATATTAATCGTCCTATATGGTCACGTCCCAATTGGCAGGAATGGATGTTGATCATCACACTGCAGTGCTCTGACATCACCAGAGGGCGGAGCCAAATAAGAAACCAAATCTCCAATCAGAATGCTCTCCCATAGCCAACCCGAGCAGCCAATTGGGACGCTCCTCCATCACAACCTCAGGTAAGACAAAACCTTTAACTTCCTGTCTATGACAGCCTGTTTTGATGACGTCACAGGATTTGTCTCTGTCGACGATGACATCATACTCAAACTGTTAAAACCTCACCCTGACCTGAGAGCCAGTCCAACGGCCCTCTGCCCTCCCACAATCTGGACCCCACATCCTGTCGAACACAGGAGGATGCTGGGAGACCACCTTCCCCTCGCCTCCAGGACGTCTTGACGTGTTTTACCTGAGCTCAGACTGACAGGCCCACACTTCTTGTGACACACCAACACCACAGCACAGGGTCACCACACACATTAATACATCACACCTTCCCTATAATTTGATCTTCAACCTCTTTTTAATGACCTCCATCATAACCGTCGGTGTCGTCTTCTCTTTGAACCCATACGGCAGCAACCTGAACTTCCTCCCCCAACAGTTGTAGATAAAAAGCGTCTCATGTTTAGCGACACAACCGATCTTATTGTCTAGCTATTAAACATAATGAAGACTAACCAATGGATATTATATTAATGTGTTCACCTGGAGTTTAAACACACCAGGTGCAACTTCTGCCACTAGGGGTCCCTCTGACACCAAATCCAAGGTAAGAAAAATCATAAAGACTGAGAGGTGGTGAAGCAGCCGAAGGGGATGTCAAAATTTGGATTTGTCTTCCCACCATTGCCGTCATTGCAGTCACTTCCCCCGTTAGGATGCCTCCAAGTTCATGTTCAGGAAGGTTTCTACCGGAGCCCCCAATTAATCCACAGAGGCTCTGTTGCCTCCCCCTCTCCAAAACAAACCATGACATGCGATAGAAACCACAAACCACACTGAATAAAGCAGTTCCACCTTAAACACCACTGAATAAAGCACTTCCACCGCTAAACAGGCACACCTGAATAGACAGTTCCACCTTAAAAATCACGCTCTCGCCAGAGGAAGGGGGGGGGGGGATGGGGGGGGGGGGGGGGGGGGGGGGGCACCGCCTGTTGGACCAACCCCAAAGCGCCCCCGAGGGCTGCGAACGAGCGTCTGCTAACGTTAACTCAGCTTGTTTCCTGATAACTAAGATCCAGAACTCCAATGACCAAAATGCCTTCATTCCCAGTTCAAATCTAGAGTTAAAAAGCACCAAGATCTAAACAGGAATGTACAGACATCCAATTATGGACGAGCTTACTGATTATTGGATTATTGATCAACTACATATAGAACATAACTCCTAGAGTCTATACATCTGTTTATAAATGTTTACAGTTTAGATGAGTAAAATATTGTTAAATTCATGTGATTAAGTGCTAATTCCAAGAGCTGCACTGTCTGACATTTAAATCCTCCCCCTGCAGGGAGGCCTCCTCCCCCCTCTCCCTCTGATAGTCAAGAGGTGGTGACGACTCTTTAACCGACAGCCCTCCACGAATGACATCGTCGATCTCCTCCCCACCCCAGCCCGCCTCCTGCACTGCCGAAAACAGAAGGTAGCCTGATGAACACCTGAGTCTGACATCAACCTGTCTGACTCGTCTCTGATGCCTCCGTCCCCTGCTTCAGTGGATAGCTCATCAGCGTCTCCCTTCCTCCCCTCCCTGTCTGTACCCTCCATCTTCAGCTTGCACCACTCGCTCCTCCCTCCATCTTCGTCCCATCTCCGTCGTCCCAGACAGAGTTGCAGTCTCCCACCGCACCATCCAGCACAAGCAACCTATCAGAAAGCATCTGTCCTCCACAAAAAGGGTGCCTCCTTAAAGACAGACCCGCCACCATTAAGGAGGTCGCAGAGACGGTGAACAGTCCGTTCAGTGTCGAAAAGTAACATGTACCGAGGGAGGCGCTAAAGAAGAGGTTTTTATTCTCTGTAACCCAGAATAAAACACATAAAGTACAAAGTGGTCGTCCAGCATATTGCAGAGTGAACCAGTTTATGGAGGTATTTCATCCCGTAAAGTTTTTGATTGGTTTTGAGTTTTCAATGAAAACAGAAAAAAAGAGGATGGTGGGCATCAAGGTGGTGATGTATAGACCAACCAATGCGCATAGAAACATAATAACACTATAAACAATACACACTCCCCACTCAGTGCCACGTGACTGTCCGACAGTACGACCCAGCGCTTGTTATGCCTGTTAAGCTTGTTTAGCCCGATTTGGTTGACCCTCAAAACCTTCTGTCTGTCTGTATTTAGTTAGACAGAAGCAGAAAACTGACCACACTCATATCGGGTCGCTGTATCAGTTTGAACACCTCCACCTCTCCCCACCACCTATCTCTGTGAACACTCACTCACACACCACCACACACACTAACCAAACCAGCAAACACCCAGAAACCACTGATCCATATTAACATTAAAGAACACGTTCAGTGTCCTCCTGTCTGTGCTCTTGTGTCCCACGCAGACTGTTGCTTCCACGTGTCCCTGTCTGTAATGTCCACAGACTGTTGCGTTCACGGTGTCCTCTGTCTGTCTCTGTCCACCAGACCTGTTGCGTTCACCGTCCCCTGCCTGTCTGCCAAATCATGTCTGTCTCTGTCCACAGACTG